TCTTTACCAGCATTTTACAGTACAAAGTTAGAAATAAAAGCATGAACCATTTGTGCTGATGATATCGCATTGGGTCAATATAGGTATCGGTCAGTTCAGGATTGTATCGGAAATTAAAGTGTTGTATCGGGACACCCCTGGACCAGCAGATGCTTCAAGAATTTGAGAAATCTGAGAAATGTAACATGCAGAAGAAGCCATTTCTCAGCTTTATCACGCTACCAAGACCTGGAAACACTTGAGCTCTGTTCACTAGACTGCACCCTACTAACTCTGCTGATGCAGAATCCTTTCCTGTCAACGATGACATCATAAACATAAACAAATATTAACAGATTTTGGATCCGATCAAAATGTATAAAACAATGATTTATATATATATTTTTAAAGTAAAATTAATCCTTTTAATTTACATCACTCTAAATGTTCTCTGAATGAATCATTTTAACATTTTAAGGAGAGGCTGTAGTTATTAGCCTGACGTAGTCCTACTCAATTCTAGTCAGAATATGAGTCTGATGCTGCTCCATATAGCTGTGATTATGGGGCGTGTTTTGAACGAACCAGGAAAAAAAATGCCTCTGCACTCAATTGGATAGACCTACAACCAATAAGAGCAACGGAGTGCGTGACGTATGTTAAGCCACGCATAGTTGTTTTCAACAAAAATCAAAGCGTGCAATTGCACGCCTAGAATAAGAAGATGAGCCTTGATCGCGTTTCTCTGTTCCTCTTTTAAAATTAATTTGCTGTCGATATCTTCTAGAACAGACCTAATAGCAGAATCTACACACCTCAACTCTCCAGCGGCAGCTATTGTTGTTGTCACCCAAGCGCGCTTTGGTCACATGGTTTATTACGTTACTGTTGATCATCTGTCCATCATCGTATAAAGCCCGCCCTGACAATTTGATTGGATCGCAAGAGAGTGGGCGATCATACTCGCGCTACTATGGAGCAATGCCAGACCGAACTTCCCGACCTCAAACCTTGTGGGTGGGACTAAGTTCGGAATGGCACCCAGGCTAGTAGTTATACCCTCTAAGGCAGATCTTTGATATAAGATTATGCTAATTAAAAGACCAATTTAGATATTGACATTGACTAAGATAAGCTATAAATTAGGGCTGCAACAACGAATCGATAAAATCGATAAAAATCGACTTTTAAAAGCGTTGGCAACGAATTTCATCATCGATTAGTTGTGTCGCGCGATTATTGCGTCATCCGCCGCGCCGTCATCACTGCCTCTTGACTGAAAGAGGAAGAAAAAAATATATGGCAGAGCGAGTCAGCGCCGCAGGAGCAGTGTTGCCAACTCAGCGACTTTTCAGACCCCTCCAGCGACTATTTTTCAAAAAAGCGACTAGCGACAAATCTGGCAACTTTTTTCGGTTTCACTGGCGGCTTTTGGAGACTCTTACGTGAAAGCGTGTATCGTTCCTACTCTGCCGTGGGGCGCCTCCCCCACTCCCGCAGGAGTCCCTCTCAGCTGCAGTCAGAGCCTCAGGATGTTTACCCTCAGCGTCCAGACTGCAAATGAAGCGCGCATGCACCGGGATTGACGGCGCAAATTGATCACAATAATTAAAATAGCCTGCGCTTTGTAAAGCGAAAAAAGTTATAACATGCAACTTTTTTCAAAAGAAATTAACATGGCACGGAACCACCATGTTCCTTACTGTGTTAGTAGGTTACAGACAGTGATAAGGTTGGCTACTTATTTTACTTTTAATTTCATTTGAATTAGCTTAAGCAGCGTTTACATTTACTTTATAAATAAATTAACTTGCAAATTATGAGGGCAAGGCTTTTAAAGTTTAAATCTTCTGGCAAAGATAAAGTAAAGAAGATCCTGCAATTTATGGAAGTAAAGCATAAAATCCAGCAAGATCAGTAATATGTCAATTAATTATCTGCCACATTCCCATGTAAATATCTGTCTTTGGAGAATGTGTTTTTTAGCACCCCTAGTTCTCTCATTTTTATTCCAAATACAATTTATAATTTGAATCACAGGGCTATTTTTTATCTCTATGGTTAAGTATTTTCTCAAGTAGCAACTTTGACTGCTATACTTTCCTGTCTTAAAAGGCAGAACTCTTCTAGTCTAAAAAAAATAATTTGTTGAAATGGGGGGGCCTATTCTTTGAACCCCTTAGGGGCTTTTAAAAACAAAAATGTCTTTTTTTGCGCTTTATGAAACAAAGTAGCCTATATTTTGTGGATGTACAGCTACATTTCTCATGTAAGTTTGCGTAGTTTTAACACAAACATTTATTTTTCATATTGCACCAGTACAGTTAATGAGCAACCTGTACTTGTGTGCTTGTTTGTTCTGTCTAAAATGTTTATTTTGGAATAAAGAGGTTAATATAAAAAATATTTTTTGTCCGATTCATCGATTAATCGAAAAAATAATCGTCCGATTCATCGATTTTTAAAATAATCGTTAGTTGCAGCCCTACTATAAATACTACATATACTTTTAGGTCTTTGGTTTTGTTGTCAATATACATGGGAGTGAAACCAGGGTATTTATACTTAGTGAATCGTATAGCGATGTTATGGGAATCTGATTGACTTGCAAACTTTTGATGACAGAAAATCTGGTAAGAAATAAAGTGTTTTTTTTTTCTTTTTTTATGGACACACATAATTCAAACATTATAGCAGAAAAACTAGTTTTGACTTTGTTTCTGGAAGATTCCAGTTGCAAGCAAGGGGCACAGATTTCAATATTTCAAGCTGGACCCAGAGTCGGGCTTTGGATTAATCTACTGCTGTAGATTACGCAAACATTATTGTTTTCAATTGATTTTCTAAAAAAAGTGTATGTTCAATCTTAGTTCTTCCTTTCCATTTCCACCACTTGCAAAATGTATAAATAGCATTTTATTTTGCTTGCCTTCACATCTACAGTTCAAGGGGTTTTCCAGTACAGTGACATTGCATGCTGACATACCACTTTATCTTCCTTTTAATCTGCTCTCCTATAAACAGAGGAGAGCGATTTTATCTCAATTCTGCCCTCCTGGGTTTACTGGAATGATGATGGTATAGTGTGTAGTGAAGATGCAGACACAGAGTAGGACCAGGGACATAATACTGCTGATAACCCAGTTCTGAAGAAAACCTCTAAAAGAGAGACACTGGAAAGCTCAATATCCTGAGAGGTTGGAGTAATTAGAACAAACACAGAGGAAAAAACACAAGTGGATGTACGGAAACAAACTGATCTATTGAGTTATAATCTATGTGATGTCACTAATTGGGCAAAATCTTATCTTGATATTTTGTTGAACTATTGTGATTCTTCACAGTCTTTCTCAGCTACATGTCAAAGCAATCATAGACCCACAAATACTGCTGCTACAAACTATACACATTTAAAAGCTTTCATTAGGACGCCTTTATGTATAAAGAAGAGTGATTTATAGCACTAAACATCCCACGGTGATCACATTTAATCATATGCTTTGAATTTGTCAAATCTCCCAATGGAAAACAAAAGAGAAAGAAAAAGAAGAAGAAAGTAAAAATACATTATTTGGCAATTCACCAATTTTCTTTTGAAATTTTTAAACATTAATTCTAATTTATCAATGAGATGATAAATCAAAATCTTATGTTGAGATGATAAATGATGTGATAAATGCCCAACCCAGATGTATGTTGTTCAAAATTATTAAAAGCTACAATGAAACTAAGTTTGTTGGTACAGAAAAGCCTGCAGCTATAAGGGGACATTTTGGATAAGAAAGTACCTGAAATCTTCCACAGTTCAGAAACTAAAAGGAATGTCCTAAATCTCCCCATGGTGATCAGAACAGAGGGAAACAGTCGAGAATCAGTGCATCCAAATTTAACAGACACCAAAACATCAGGTTCCAGAACACCAAGCTACGGAAGAGGATTAGGGACACTGAAAAAAAAAGTTCAGTTTAATATGGGAAACAAGTCAGAATTCTGAATTCTTTAATCTAAGAATTTTAGATCTTAATGTAGATGGGCACCATGAAGGAAGCCAAAGATGTGAGTTGATTGAGAGGGCCAGTGACACATTGGTGAAAAATTACGTAATTAGGCAAATTTAAATGTGCCCGAGGGGTCCCCGGTGATGCGATTTCATTAATTTATTAAAACAAGAGAGCTAGTTTAGTCTCTAGACATGGCTACGTCTTGATGCTAACATGTTTGTAAGCTGTCAGAATTCTGAGATTAAAGTAATCAGAATTCTGAGATTAAAGTAATCAGAATTCTGAGATTAAAGTAATCAGAATTCTGAGATTAAAGTAATCAGAATTCTGAGATTAGAGTCAGAATTTTGAGATTAAAGTCAGAATTCTGAGATTAAAGTCAGAATTTTGAGATTAAAGTCAGAATTTTGAGATTAAAGTCAGAATTTTGAGATTAAAGTCAGAATTCTGAGATTAAAGTCAGAATTCTGAGATTAAAGTCAGAATTCTGAGATTAAAGTCAGAATTTTGAGATTAAAGTCAGAATTCTGAGATTAAAGTCAGAATCCTGACTTTTTTCCCATATTAAACTGAAATAAAATGTAATCATCAGTTAACTTTTTTATTTTTTCAGTGGCCCTAATCCTCTTCCCTACCAAGCAGCCTGTGCTTCATTATGTTTTTTTTTTCCTCCTCTAACATCTAATGCTGCAGCAGCAGCAGCAGCCTGTGGTGACGTAGTGATGACGTCCAACAAAAGTCAACATGAAATAAAAACATCAAACCGTGAGAAAAGCAGCGGAATCCAACAGATAGTCAGCCTACAGGAGATTCGATTTTTAGCAACCCGGGCTTTTTCTCCGCAAACCTGGATGGTTTTCCCTTCAGCGGAGGAGAAGGAGAAGGAGGAGGAGGAGTGGCTGAAAACTTGCCGCAGTTCAGACTCCTGCAGTCCGAACTGACTGGGTCCCCCTCGGGAAGCCCAGCAAACATTTCCGCTTCAAAATAATCAGACAAAAACCCAAACAGACTCGGATTTACCTGAACGGCTCCGTCTCCGGGGTCCAAGCAGAAAAGGCTCGAATTAATCCACAAACTTCCCCCCGGCGGTAGGACTGAGCCCGGGACAAGGTCCTCCAAACATTCCCAGCCCGGACCGGAGGAGGGGGGAGGACAGGGGGGTTCAACCCGCTGTTTCGCTGCTTCGCTCTGGTTCTTCCCCTCCCTGGTCCGTTGGAGATCAAACCATCACATTCCACCGCGTCCTTAACAATGAAAAAAGGTGGGCTTTCCTTTTCTGCTGCCGGGAGGGAGGAGGAGAAGGAGGACCCACCCCTCGGGATGACTCTTCCCCGGCCTGACCGCACAGAGGCCGCCCTGAGAGGCCCCGCCCCTCCCTGGGACTAGAGGTGGGCGGATCGATCCCAGGATCGATACTATCGATACCAACGCTGGTATTTATATTGAACAATATTCGTTTAACAAGATCGATACTTTTTATCCTCTCTCGCGCGCGCTGACTGCTGCGGAGTCACCAGTTTCCCCATATGTGTAACAGCACTTTGCTCCCCCTCCCCTCTCCTACAGTCACATGGCTCAGCGGCGCCAGCCAATCAGCGCGCAGGCTTAGCTTGGCCTGCCCACTCAGCACTACGTCACACAGACAACCGCGCTGCCGGTTGCTGGGTGAGTGCTCACTCAGACTTGGATGGAGAGAGAGACCAAAGACCCGCCTCCAGCCTCAGACAGACATCTTTGACCCAAGCGTTTCAGTCCTCCAGAGAATATCCAGGTAGATAACAGTGGTCATCGTCTGCAGCACTTCATTATACATCATATATTACTCAGAAAGTGTAATTAAGACCTTGAAAAAACCCAGTACATTTATCCCATTAAAAATTGTTAGCTAAAATAAGCTAACATTAGATAATCTCTTATTTATTCCACGATTGAGAACTTTATAGAAAAAAAGCAACAGGCAAGTGCAGCTTAAATGTAAAAAGTATCGGTATCGGTATCGATATCGGCGATACTGACCCAGTATTTACTTGGTATCGGATCGATTAAAAAATCCCGGTATCGCCCACCTCTACCTGGGACCCACTCAGATCCTGCATGTTTCACTATAATCCCACATTTCCATTGAGTTTAATTAAGCTGAATTATTAAATAAGAACCAAGTCACACCTTAAAGTTGTAGAGAAATCATATTTAAATGTCAAATCATTCTGGCTTAAACATGTATATAAATGTAATCTTTATCAGACCATATTGTACCAAAATGTAATAAATTTTTTTCTATATATCCATGTTTTCTTCGTTATCTTCTGCAGGCCAGTTAGTTATTCATCAGCCTGAACACCTAAATTCGGCCAATCATATCTCAACGGTCATCTGTCAATCAAATGTTTTCAGTCATAGCATCTTGATTCATATGTCGCAGCTAATATACTCAACGGTTGAAATCAGAATCCTTTCCTTTCCCATTGAGTTGCGTTTCAGTGTTCACGGGGATGGACGTCTGTGTCTTCGGCAGGCGTAGAGCTAACAGAACTGCGAGGCAAGGGCTCAAACATGTACGGCTGGAAGCCTTCTACACCAAACCAAGCTTCTGCCGCCCTGGCGTCCTCTTCCACAACATCTTCGTCCCCGCTTTCCTCCTCTAAATAAAAAATGGATGACGGAGGAGACTCATCCACGACCTCCGACACTAAACTCTCCTCCTCTTGCATGTTTCCGCTGTCCATAGCGTTCCTTGACAGCGTCGTTTCTAAGTCACCAATTTAGTGCTACTTGGTCCCAATGGAATTTCCCATTGGGAACCTGCTAGTGCTAAGATGCTAACTGGTTAGCAAGATGCTTCCGACAAACCGTCCACAACCAAACTTGCTTGAGAACCTTCCCCCACAACAATCCCACCCCCTTGATAAACGACCAATAAAATTCACTTTATTTACTCGTGTAAAGTCGGGCACCACTCGGGAGAATTTGGAAATGCAACGGTTGGAACAGCCGCTTCCCTACGACTTTAAATATTGAAGCTACAAAAATTACAGAATGGACATAGAGATTCCTTTTTTTATCATTCTGCTTCATGCTGGTGAAGATTCTCAGTCTTTATCAAACTTGGAAACAAAGTCCAGTGGGTTGTTTTTAAATTTTTTTTCTTTTTGGAATCATTCTGCTTCATTCTCTCTCTATTCTCCCACTCTGCAGAATCTGTTAGTTCAATCTCTAACGTTCTGCTCTCTCTGCTTTTTCTCATAGTAGCTTCATCCGGTCTGTTCCTGTTTGGCTGTGACTCCATCCTGGAGAGAAATATCAGCTGTGCTGCTGCCATCAACACCTTTGTTTATAGATGATGGAGATCAACCTGTTTTTCAGTGTAGTCCTGTTTCTCTGACTGTGACTAACTGGATGTGCTCTCTTCATCCTCTGACATGGGAGCTGGCTCGGAGCTCGTCTGCCTGGCTTTGTTTCCTGGACGGGGCCGCCTTTTAAAGTTGCCTTTTGTATCTATGCTTCTTTTTCTATGTCTGCTTCTGTCTCCTTGAACCCCAGTCGGCCTCTGCAGATGGCCGCTCACACTGAGCCTGGTTCTGCTGGAGGTTTCTTCCTGTTCAAAGGGAGTTTTTCCTCTCCGCTGTCGCTACAAGCATGCTTAGTGTGAGGGATTGCTGAAGAGTCAATGAGTCGATGCAATCAGCTGGTTTTCCTTAGATAGAAAACTTTAAATCAATCTGACTGGATGATCTGGTGGACTGGAAAGTACCTTGAGATGACGTGTTGTGAATTGGTGCTTTAGAAATAAACTGAATTAAATTGAAACATGGATGGATGGATGGATGGATGGATGGATGGATGGATGGATGGATGCATGGATGCATGGATGCATGGATGGATGGATGGGTCCCTATGTCCTCCAGCAGTCTAAGCCAGCTGTCGACTTCAATAAAAAGTCATCCATCCTGACAGGAATTTAGTTTCTTCCTTAAATCCTTAAAACTCTCTTTTTTCCTCACTTTTGTTTTCACCAAACAATCAGGAATTCAAATGAATGAGATAAAGCTAGAAACGTTACCCAGGGCCTGCAAAAAAGAGAAACATTCTGACCTTTGGCTGTAAATCCTGATTCAATCCAATCCCAATTTTATTCTGGTTTGTTATGTAAGAAATGATTTTATATCGGTTGGTCACATGTGATTTGAACCTGATAAGCAGCCATGCAGTCTGACAAAGTCCTGCCCCGTTTATTGCTTTATAGGAGAGTAATTCCTGGCAGTGTAATCATGACATGTGCTGTGGAAACATAACACAGGTTATGTCTTGGCTCATCATATCACATAGCTCTGTGCTCAATTAATGCCAAAAAGTCGCAGATACTTAACACTTAAATCTGCTGTTCACCAGTTATGCTGACGACTCCGTGATGTGATTCCCATGGTTTGATCCTCTGGTTCCCACATCGCCAAGAGCCCTGCTTCTTCCGTGACTGGGCGTATAGGGCTGAACGAGGTATAAACAAGGCTACCACCTTATTCAGGTTAGGAGACAAATTCCAGTGATACCAGATCATCAGAGAGGTATCAAATATTTTCAGACAGCTGCAAGGCGGAGGCGTAACCGGGCATGCTCAGGCACTTTGACGCCACGCAGCAAAGCCTCTCACAGGTGTACGTGAATAAAGCCAGAGGGCTGTTGTAGTTTTCTTCTTTTATAGAAGGAGTCGTTAAAACTTTAGCCCATTTAATAGACAAAAAGTCTGCAGCTGATTCAGGATCAGCAGCTTTCTTTTCATTACGCTTCATTATCACAGATATCCTCCAGCATCCAGGAACCCTGGAGTCTTCAAGGTTCCTCCTCAGTTTGGAAGAGACTAGAAGAAGTTTAAGGAATTTCCAGGTTTGGATAAAAAAGAATGGAAATAATTGGTATTTAGCAAATAGTTTCATCCATCCATACATCCATCCATCCATCCATCCATCCATCCATCCTGCTTTCTTCCAGTTCCAGTAAGGCAAGGCAAGGCAAATTTATTTGTATAGAACAATTCAATACAAAGACAATGCAAAGTGCTTCACATGATAAATCTATAGGAAAATAAAACTGAATCAAAGCAAGTAGGAAAAAAATAAAATAAAATAATGCAGAAACAAAAAAGAATATTAAAAACAGTTGGACTAAAGAAAATAAAAAAGTTGAACTAATGATGTTTCAGTTGAATTGTTTAACTAGAACAGTCGAGGCAATCCTAAACAAATGTGTTTTTAGTCTTGATTTAAAGGAACTCAGGCTTTCCTCACTTTTAAAGTTTACTGGAAGTTTATTCCAGATAAGTGGAGCATAGGAACTAAATAGTAGAGGATCTTAGCTCCTAACAGAACTGACTAACATATTTTCTGTTCATAATATATTCTGTATTTAATATCAGGAGCGGCTCCCAGTGGTTGCAGCTGCAGAGATCTCCATCACTCATAGATCACCATAATTACAAGCATCCAGACTAGTGCACAAGATATTTTCCTTTGGCCTCATAATGAGTATGTATGAATAAAATCAGGCCTTAGTGGAAGTGTTTTGAGCCACAATATGGTGTATGTTAAAGCTTTTTCCTTTACATCCCCACACTGAGGATGAGGATTAACATGTCCTTTCAGAGTAGGTTGTGGCCAGTATTTAAACAGATGTAACTCCGCTGGATCAAAATGTGGGGCAGCTTGTTATGTGAGGAAACATGCGATTATCCGAAGTCGACGGACACACGCCATGTTTGCAGGGAGAGGGCTTAAAACCAGCATCTCCTGTAGTATCTCCTGTTTTACAATTAAATGAAGCTGTCTTCCACCCTATTAAAGAGTTCTTATATTTGAGGTAGTACGTTTTAACTTGAAAATACCCCAAACGTCCCATGAGACCGAGCAGAGCTGCTTTGAAAATCCCGACTCACTGTCAAGTCCTATATCATCTCCAAGTACAGATGCTTCGGCCTGTCTGGTTCACCCTCCCATGCCCCTCTAGTTCTCACTGCAGGGGGACATTCCTCAGTCCTCGGCCTCTGCCATGCGGTAAATCCGCTGTGAAAGAGACCTACACTCTCCAGTCTGACAGAAATACTCTGCCAGGCAGGACATGAAGCTTTCCCTCAATTCAAAACCTCCTGTTTCCTTTCAGCTCCCCGTAGCGGCTTTAGGCGTAGAGCCTTATATCCTGCATGGGAGTCGACAGAGAGTGGCGTGCCCCAGGGTTGAGTTGAGGTGAAGGTGCAACTGTAAAAAGGTGTTAATGAGACAAGCTCCACTCAGCACCACTCAGCTTCGCTCCCTTCCTGTATCCACATACCTTTGGA